CCGAGCTCCTGAGCAGCCTGGACTCTGCGTCTGTTCGTATCTTCAAACCCCCAACCTTCCCCAACACCGCCACCTTCCGCCTCCAACCTTGTGGGCCACAACAGGCCTCAGCTCCACCCATCCACAGCTCTGCTCCTGACCCCGCCCACCTGGACAGCCCCCGCATGGCCACGATACAGGAAGACTCCAACTCCGACTCCCACCTGGACCAGGAAGTCCTGGATGAGGATTTTGAGCGCCCTCCTGTGGCGGCACCACGCTCCTACGAGGACCTAACAGAGAAGAAGGCCTCGGCCAGCAGAGAGAGGGCGCTGCTGTTCCACCTGCACAGACAGCCCCGCCACATCGACACCAGAGAGACTCAATGCTGAGCTGCAGCGCCCCCCTGAGGAACATCAAGGGACTGGAGTCACACAGAAAGATGGAGACGAGGTGAGCCTGACCTCTGACCTAAAGACCAGCTCCAAGGTTGTATTAAACTTTGTTACTTTTCAACAGTGACTCATGTGACTTCAGACGAAACACTGTGAAGTCACTCAATGTTAAAAGGTCTTTTTTCACCAGGTTCATTGATGTTTTCTTGTTTTTAATTAAAAAGACAACAAACATTTTCTTTGAACTTCAAATACTTTTTAGAATAAAAAGTTGCCAATTTTTATCTAGCTTTCATTTTTTCTATTTTTGTCCAGCTATTTAACCTAAAAAAATTTAATGACAAGAAAAAAAAAAGAAAAAGAAACCACCAGGTTGAAATGAGGGAATATTAGCAGTGAAAAATAAAGGTTGTTCACTTTACTCTTGTAAACAGCGACTGCAAAAATCACTGTTTTTCTCCCCCAAAACTTTTATTTATTTATTGTTTAACTCGTAACACATTTTTGGAAAAAAAAACGTGAAAAAAAAAATTGCTGTTTGACTCTAATTTAAGAAGTTATAAAAATAAACAAAGCTTGTTTTCATTTAACATCAGAGTTTAACTTTTTCTCAGGAGTTAAAATAAGAATACACAGGTGGCGCTGTCTCCTTCCATGACATCACTCTGTGATGAAGTGAACGAAGGTGACAGGAAAAACTCCACGTCGCTCAGGCTCGCCTTCAACATGGCCAATCTACAACACACACAAGTGTAGCTAAAAGTTAGCTTCAGCTTCAGCGATGGTTGACCTGTTTCCAATAACAGTTTCTTTCTTTGGTGCTAAAGTTTTGGTGCTAACATTTAACTAACAGTTGATTATCTTCCAATTTTTGTTGTAACTTTAGTTTTAGTGTAATGTTCACGGAGTGTCATCAGCAGCAGAGACGGGCTGTGATTGGCTGCAGGCTCTGGTCATGTGATCGACTCACCCACCAATCAGTATCCTCCTCTCCCTCCACCACAATCACTTCTCCTTCTCTGAACGTCAACTCATCTGGATGATCAGCTGTGCAGTCGTACAGAGTCACCACCCGACGGCGCTGGGGAGGCTGGGAGGCAGAGGGGGGAGAGCTGTAACAATGTTGTCCATCTGATACTGTGTTTTGCTAACATTTCAGTCCAAGTAAACTAGCTGTTAGCTAAGTTTAAACCAGGACAGGTACTTACAGAGAATGTGGTTCTGGGTTTAGGTGTTGGAGGACCAGGACCTGGACTTGGACTCTGACTCTGAGGCGACTGAGTTTCTGAACCTGGATTAAAAACAAAAACAATTGAAATAAGAATAAAAACTGTTAGGGTTAAAATGACTGATCAGAACTCGACCCAGGAACCGTGACAGAGACCTCGGGATTCTGGTCCAGTCCTGGTCCGCAGCCTTTGAGGAGGAGACTTGACTGATCTGAAACCAGGGAAAACAGAATTTATTGGCCTGTCCACTCTGGTCCACTCTGGTCCAGTTCAGTCCAGGCCTTACCCAGAGGTTGGGGTGAGACATTTTGGAGACTCCTTTGGAGGTCCTGAAATAGTTCTCCTGCTGTGGTGGGGAGGGGGAGGTGGAGGGGAAGGTGGGAGAGGAGGTGTAGAAAGTCCTGGAGGGAGGGGGGGGAGTGGGCTGTTCCGTACTGAAATCCCCTTACTGTCCAACAGAGAGGACTTCCTGTTTCCTGGAGGGACAGGAGGAGGGGGAGGGGCCGGGGGAAGCACTGGGGGAGCAGAGGGTGGAGTTAAGAACTATTCCTTCTATTCTAACATTGAACTGGTGGAGGCGCTGTAGTTACTCACCATACATGGATAAAGAATTTCTCTCAGCAGCCTGAGGGTCAGAGGTTGACCGCTGACGGCCCACTGTCTCCATGGCAACAATCGAATGACCCTGACCTAGATGTCCCACAGAAAGTCAGAGGTCATTCAGGGTCACTAATCACCAATTAATCAACAGCTGATCAATAACCAGTCATTAGGAACTGACAATCCCGCCCAGTCACACACACACACACACACACACACACACACACCTCTGATTGGTCCTCTTGGTGGGAGGGGGGGCGTGGCTCTAGGTGTCAGCAGGTCCAGTCTGGTTCCATAGGTCTCGTTGTTGATGACGGTGTTGACCACCTGGGGTCTCTGTTTGTCCCAGACTAAAGCCGCTGTGTTTGGCTGCAGGGGGGCGGAGCCTGGCACCAAACAGCTGAGAGGGCGCTCCTCACGCCGTGTTGGTATTGGCTGCACAAAAAAAGGGCCACAGTTACAGAGCGGGAACTCTCTGGTGTCCTACCAGCTGCAGGTCACTGACCTTGTCTTCCATCTCGTCCTCGCTCTCGTCCAAGTCCTGGTTCTGAAGACGCCACTCGTACTCGACGTGGACGTGGACGTTGAACTTCCCTGACTGTGCCTGGGTCAGCTGACACAGACCAAAACAACAAGGTCAACTACAGAGCGAGACAAACCAGGACACACGGACCATGGACCACTGGTCCTCTCACCAGTTCTTCACACTGGACGTGTCGTAGACGTTTGGCGATGTCCAGAGCCGTCTCTCCTGCATCGTTGGCTGTGACGATGACGACCAAAATAACAGGTGAACACAAATACTAGCTAGCATAAGCTAGGACTTAATGCTAACAACCCTGGTCTCACAAATGTTGACTGAAGCTTCTGTCGTTGTACCATGATGTTAGCTGACATTAGCTAACGTTAGCATTAGTCACTGTCCTAATAATGAAGACGGAATCTTTTATCTCTTAGCTGTTGTTCGCTGATTATTAACGCATGTTTTAAAAACGTTAGCTGGTGTAAGCTACACTAAGCTAGCATGAGCCTTGTTCTTACTGGTGGAGACTGAAGCTCGTCCTCGCAGCAGCAGCTTCAGACACTCCCTGTTGTCTGTCAGGCAGCAGTAGTGAAGAGCTGTGCTTCCTCTCAGCGTCTGTTTGTCCAGGTTCCCACTGAAACACAATCAAAGCTCACAGTCCAACTTCACACTGACTCTGCTGCCTCCTGTGGTCACTCTGTGTCACTGCAGTAAATCTGAACGCATGAGTTCCATGGGGCCGGGGGGGAGTTGCGCAGCTTCATCTGGAACAGTGATGCTAAGCTAGCTTACCTTCTGATCTTTGTATGGTTATAAAGCTAGCTGTGAAAGTAACTGCTGTTAACCCAGATGACATCACAGTGACATCACACACCTGTTCTGAGCTAAAAAGTCCACGATGTGGAGTGAGTTCCGGTCCACCATTCGTACAGCCAGGTGCAGAACTGTTTCCCCTGGTTCCTGAGGAAGGAACCGTTCAACATCATTGGAGTGTGGTTAGCATGTCTGGACAAATCCTGCTCGTCGTACTTACGTGTTCGTTCGGCTGTGACATGGCTTCCATCAGGTCAACACCCTGGGCGTAGACTTGGATCAAGGACATGATGTCCCTGGTCCTGACCGCCTCGTACAGGGCCTGAAGTCTGGATGCAGCATCGCCGTACAGCCGTTTGGCAAAACGTTTCTCCGTGTACTTGGCAGTGATGTAGTCCTTCCTCATCTGCCTGAAAAAGTTAGCACATATCAGTACAATAAGTGGTGACAGTTAGCCTTTCTAGCTAGCAGTTTCAGCACGATTAACAAGAACTCTAGTAACTTACATGTCACTGCCAGCTTCTGGTTTGGTCACTTCCTGTGTGTTAAGCTCCTCCTCCATGATGTCATTGAAGCTGGCATTTCCTACATTCTTTGCCAACTGCACGGCATCATTGTATTTGAGGAGTGGTCAACAGCAGCACCAAAATAACATCCACTTATCAGTCATCAGACTCACCAGCAGCTCAGATGTTCCCAGGACGTCCAGGTCCAGACTCTGGATCCTGGAATAATGGACTCCCAGCTCCCTGTGGATCCCAGAACACTCGATGCAGATCAGAACGCCCAGGTTGGTGGACAGCCAGGTGGGTCCTGATGTTGGGGGTGGAGACCACGCGGCACACAATGTTAGCACTGTTAGCATCAGTGCTAAAGTTAGCCAACCTGAAATAAACCTGATGATAAAGCAGGCATGGGTAAACGATGGCCCCGAAGGTGTTTTGATCCGGCCGCCAAACGTGATCAAATTATTAAGTTGTATTTTTAGAAAATTTCTGTCAATTTGCCTTTTGCCTGCAATGTCCATGTTTCCCCAATAGATGGTACACTCCAGGGTTGAGGCTAAAAGCTTTTCAGTTTGGCTCTAACACAGGGGTGTCAAACATACGGTTCGCTTGACGAATTTTGAAAGTGAAAAAAATGCACAAACACTCATTAGTGATGTTTTGTTAATTGATGAACATTTTCTAAAATACTTGGAATATTTTGAATGAAAACAAAAAGGAAAATCATCAGTATTAATGTCATGATTGTATTGGTCCGACCCACTTAACATCTAATCAGGTTTGACCCCCACCAACCCCACTCTAACATGTCCTTTGACTTATTTAACTCCACCCCCTGCTCCTGGCCCCGCCCACATTTCATGTTAGAACCCACTGTGGCCTGTAAATTCAAAGTAATATTAGCAGGCTATTAGCATTTAATTCACAGTAGTGTTGCTGTGCCAACATTTAGCATCATCAGTGGAATAAGCTAACCTTTAGCTCCACAGTCACAGCAGCTGTCGTTTCCATTCATCCTCTTCACCTCAGTGACGATGGCTTTGGTCAGTTCCTGAACGATGTTGTTCTCTCCTTCGTCTTGTTCTCCTGCAAACGCCTGGTTCAGAGCCTCCTCCTTACTGTTCTGGAGAACCGATATCCACCTGCAGGAACACACACACGAAGTGCCCCATCCCTTTAAAAAAATTTACTAAGCCTCTCCCACTCTTTTCAAACTTCCTGTGATCTTTCCATCTGTGTCAACTGGGTTTTTTGTGTCAAAGTCCATCGGCATGAGATTCGCACAGCGTAAAAAAACCACAAACATAAAATTCGTAATGAACGTAAGAGCCGCAGGAAACCGGACAAAGAGCCGCATGTGGCTCCCGAGCCACAGGTTGGCCATGCCTGCTCTAGCATATGAGCTACAAAGAGATCAGTACTGACACATCGGTACCAGTTACGTACACCTGACACTCGGCTTCGTCCTCGGCCTGAAAGTGATAGGTTCTGTCATCTGGAGGAAACACAGGAGGAAGTGTTCATTAACAGGAACATCATGTGACACCAGTCTGTCATGTGACTTGTGTGACACATGACTGGTCATGTGACATGTCGTACGTGAGAACAGGTCAAAGGTCTTCTTCTCCTCCGGGTTGGTCTTCACCTGACAGGTCAGCAGGTTGAGTTTGGCTGGAGGTCTGTTAGCCTGAAACACACCGCAGCTAACTGTTAGCATGGACAAACCAAGATACCATTAGCTGGTTAGCATGTAGTGAAGCTCATAAAGGAATGGACAGGGGACAGAACAGGCTGTAGAAGCAGAGGGATTAGGCTTGAACTGTTTCCTGTCTGTTCTTGGCATTTCCTGTCCAAACTTTTTTGGAGCTAACTTTAAACTAGCTAACGTCGAACTAGCTCTCCTGGATCTCCTAACTCCATTATAGAACACTAATTAAGGCATGGCCGCGACCCATGAATCAATGGTATGCTCCGCCCACCCTTTTTCGTATGCTCCTCCTCCTCATGCTCATTCTTCGCCTTCGCCTCTTCTTGCTTTGTCTTGATTGGTCGACTGAGTCTCCGTGTAAAAACTTAAGAAGTAAAAGAAGGAAAAGGAAAATAAAGAGTTTCAACCCAAGAGAAGGATTCTGACTGGACAGGCAGACAGGGGGCGGAGCTTAAAATAAAGGAGAACCAATAGGAGAAAAAAATGTTGGATCTTACTGTTCCGTGGCTGATGGTCAGGAAACCGTTTCTCACCGAGCACTTCCTCTTCTGCCACACCTTCCTCAGCCTGGGGGGGTGGGAGGTGTGGGGGTCACGACAGTCAGAACACCATCAGAGCAACAACTACTAACAACAGTCACGGCCAGGTCCACTCTGAGAAGTCTCCTGGTGCATCATGGGACTGGCGGCGGACTCACCCCTCACTCTTCTTGTAGAGAACCCCCGAGCGCTCGGTGCCGTGGGCCTTGTTGCCCTGCAGCTGATGTAGGCTGTATCCTGAGTTCTGTTTGGCCTGAGCGTCCTGTGAAGACGGAGTGATCAAACTGTGATAAAAGCGTTCCCTGCAGGTGTGGAGGCGTCAGTGCACTTACCTCCTTCTGCTCTGACTGCAGTGAAGCCTTCAGGACGTCCCTCAGCTGCAGCAGCTGTTTCCTCTCAGCGTCTTGACCCTGTTTGACCTGAGGAAACACACACTTGTTGGGTTAAAACAAAGAAGCGGTGGCTAACTATTAGCCACTGCTCTGTTAACAACAGATTTTGTTTTTGGGTTAATAATGGAAGAGAACTTTGTTGGAACATGGTCCCTAAGGACTGTTAGTAGTTCCTGGTACCCTGAGGTCCCACAGCCGTGGGTCAGGGTCCACGGCTGTGGGTCAGGGTCCTCACCGTGCTCAGGTCAGTGCCCAGTTTCTCCACAAAGGGCTTCAGGTTCTCCACCACCTTCAGTCCATCCTGAAAAAAACTGAAGGAAACAACAGACTAGACTCAGTTCTGACCTCCAGTGGTGATGAGGTGAACAGTTTTATTTTGTCTGTGAGCCTGACTGTACACACTGCTCAGTGTAACTTTATTCCGCTTCAGCGTGTTTTAGCTCATTACTGTCTAACTCAGTACAGATTGACTGTAAACACTGCCCTCCAGTGTTCAAGTTCAAACTGTGACGTCCACCGAGACAAACGTGTGACCAAAGACAACTGACCTGAGTGTCGGTCAGTCATCGTCAGTCATGACTAGTGGACAGACGGGCCTGTGGACTGGTGTGTGTGTGTGTGTGTGTGTGTGTGTGTGTGGGACTCATACTTGCACTGAGCGTGGTAGAACTTGATGAGGTTCTGCAGGAAGTCCACACCTTTCTTCCCTTTGATCTCGTTGACTTTAAGAAGATACTGTAGACACAGAGACGGTGTAGTAGGATGAATACGGTTCATTAAGAACCACAACAACAACAACAACAACAACAACAACAACAACAACCACAACAACAACAACAACAACAACAACAACGACAACAACAACAACATGGTAGGATTAGGGTCATGGTATCGGCGCTCCATTAATGATGCCTTTTCATTGTGGTTGTGCACGAGCCTAACTCACGGTGAACACACTCAGAACTGATTGAACTGGAACCAGATACCCGATGCAGAGAACATTGTTATTCTGTCAGTCTCCAGTGTGAGGCGCTGTTTACTCACATCACACATCTGCAGCTGGAACAGCCGCCGCTCCTTCTCCATCTCCTCTGCGATTTCTCCTCCACTGAACTCCGTGCGGATCATTCCGTGCTGCCGGGCGTGGTCCCGCTTCTCCTTCTCCAGCTTCACTCTGGAGCACAGGTCAAAGGTCAGAGGTTCCAGGAGGACGAGAAGAAAGAAAGAGGAGAAACAACAGTTTCCTCACAGTTTGGTCTCATAGTCTTTCCAGGCCTTGTCAAAGGGTTTTTTCAGGTCCTGAAGGAGGAAACGTTAGACTGTCATCATAAAGAGACACACACACACACACACACACACACATCACACAGACCCCTTTGACTCCTTTCAGGTCTCCTTTCAGCAGAGAGTCCAGAGGGAAGGAGATGATGTTGGTCATGTTCTGGAGCTGAAGACAGAACACAGACAATGACAGTGTAAACAACAACAACAACAGAGTTGCTAAAGCACATGCTACTGTTGGAAAACTGGATCCTGGATCCTGCAGCAGCCAATCAGGAGTCAGGTCCTCACCAGGTTTTTAAAGAGCGCCGTCAGCTCCCTGGTGAATGAGGAGATGCTGAGGAAGGCGGAGCTAATCTCAGCATCTTCTCTACGGACGCAGTTGTCTCCAAATTTTTCCAGGGCCTGGATGAACTGCTCCTGGTTTTCCACATGTGCTGGAATAAACAGGAAATGAAGTCACAGTGGTGCCCCCCTGACCCCACCTCCCCTCACAAGTTTGGTGTTTGGTTGAATGGAAACAGGTCTCAAGAACGACCTAAAGCTAAAGGCATGAACTGAAGTCCAACATTCAGTTTTGATGTGGCTAAATATAAGCCACTGGATCACCAGTGGAGGCTAAAAGTTAGCCTAAAGGAGACGAGCTGCAGAAACAGGGCAGCTAAAGCGTAAATAAAGTTAAAATAATAATGGTAAAACCTAGCATAAGGTGAAAGGCTAATGTTAGCAGAGAAGATGTTTAATGTGAAAATAGACCAAAAGATAAAGAATATAATGTAGCTCAAAATTATCAATAAAGATAGCTATAGCATGGCAAACACATTAACAAACTAGTCAAAAATAATGAAATAGAAATATGATTGGCCAAAGCCAAATGATGCTAACAGTTAGTGTCAAAATACAGTTGCTAAACAGGAAGTGAGGTCACTCACTCACCCTGACCAGATGAACTGATGGCCTTCACCGACTTCTTGATCTTGTTGAGGACGGACCGGTCCACATCCAGAGCCTGAGGAGGACAAACAGAATCAGTCCTGGTCCTGGTCCTGGTCCTGAACCTGAACCTGGGACCAACCTTCAACTGACGGCGTCAAATTTCTCCTGAAAATCAACAGATCGCCAGAGGAACAGCGCAGTGCTAGCCTTGTCCGCCTGCATTAAGTATTATTAAACACTATTTGATTTATATAAAAAGGGGGGTGGAGGGTACAGGGGGTGTCTGCAGGTATAAAACGATTATTAGACTAAAACATTGAATTCATTCTATTATGGTCACATACGCAAAATGGGCGGGGCTGAAGGACGCAGACAAGTTAGCCTAGCGTTTGAGGTCCAGACTTGTTCATGAAGTCTGAGGTCCAGACTTGTTCATGAA